AGTTTACACAGGTGCCAGGGTGCTTTCAGAATTACACCTTCACCTCATGTCAAGGCTCCTCATACACACTTTCACACACAAGACCCGTTTTTTCTTCCTTTCCCTTTATCTGGTGGCCTCTGAATTTGTTTCTAGGGCAATTCTAACAGAACACCCACACTGGGCAGCTCATACAATAGAAAATGTACCATCTGTGGTTCTGGAGACTGTTCAAACTGGGTGTGAATGGAGCTGGTTCCTGTCCTAGATCCCGCACCCGAAGGCCAGTGCTCCATGGGCACTGGAGTCTCTTAACTCCTGAGGGCATCAGGCCGACCTCTGCCTTCATTTCTCCTTGTATACATGTCCACACTGCCTCATTTTATACTTGTCATACGGCCGGGCGGTGGTGGCACACGCCTTTAATCCCAGCACTCGGAAGGCAGAGCCAAGCGGATCTCTGTGAGTTCGAGGCCAGCCTGGGCTACCAAGTGAGCTCCAGGAAAGGCGCAAAGCTACGCAGAGAAACCCTGTCTCAAAAAACCAAAAAAAGAAAGAAAGAAAGAAAGAAAGAAAGAAAGAAAGAAAGAAAGAAAGAAAGAAAGAAAGAAAGAAAGAAAGAAAGAAAGAAAGAAAACACCCTAGTGACCTCATACATATGCAATAACTCCATTCCAAAATAAGGTGACATTCTGAGTATTGAAATTAGTTAAGTCTTCAATATATAATGGGGGGTGGGGCAAGTTCATTCATGGCAGTCATTTTCAAGTTTGGAGCAGGGGTATAGCTCAATGGTAGAGGACTTGCCTACCTAGCATGTGGGTTTAATCCCAGCACTGTGAAAACCACACACACACACACACACACACACACACACACACACACACACACACACACACAAACTAGTATCTCCAAAGACCCCTGTACCAGGGTCAACTACTGAATCCTCTATGCCTAGAACAGACCTTCCCACACAGGAGCTCAGCTAAGGATGTTACTGAATCAATGAGTGAACAAATGAATAAGACTACAAGTGAGGTAAAAAAAACTGGAAGCTAAGGTGAATCATCAGCTAGGGTGAATATTGCCTTCCTTTGTGGAATTAGTAGGAATTGAGATTACGCCCTGACAAAACTACAAAATACTCCATGCTCTGTGTCCCTCTAACAAATCATCCAAATCACAAGCATCAAAACCTCAAAAATAGCTAATAGATGCCTGTGTAAACATACATGCTAAAATAATTTCTTTCTTAACAACAGTAATGAGTCAAGGGTCGCCGATGACTTCAGTTTAAGTAACTCAAGGAATGGGCGTGAGAATGAAAGACACCAGGCACAAGACTAGCGGCTTGGTCCATCACAGCACAGTCTCTCAGCAAACCAGTGCTCCAGCTCTACACTGGATGTATTTCCTTGCTATAATCTTCTTAAATAACCAGTCCCTTTTAATAAACTCCAAGATGAACTGAACGCCACAGCAACCTCAGAATAACAAGTTCCTGTTTGCAGTAACACTGTAACACCGTATCTCAATAGATAACAGCCACACAAGGAAAGTGTTCTGTTCTATTTCTCCTAATCTCCTCATTCAAATCCTATCACCATGAATTTCCTGGATACTTGGCTTTAAAATACTGTATAACTATAAACTTTAAATCCAAGTCCGGGATAGGTCTACATTCATTATGACGGCGGCGTCTTGAAATGTTGAATTATTATCTTCAATTTCCCTCAGCCATTTATTGTAGCTGCCAAAATGAAATGGTACACCTTAAAGGCAACACTAAACTGAAGAGCGAATAACAAAGTCTCTTCGATGTTTCATTTATGAAAGCTTATTTTTGCACCATCACATTTTGTACACCCTCTAAAATATATATCACTTTGTGAAACTGACATTTTGCATGCGGAGGTCCTGCTGAGACCATGTGCTAACTTCAAGGCTTCCTGAGAGGGAGTAAAATGCAGCTGCATCTTTCCACCTTTTAAGAACCAATGACAGGGTCTAGAGAGATGCCAGTGGCCAAGATCATACCCTGGTCTTGGAGAAGATAGAAGTTCAGTTTTAGCACCATGTGGCAGCTTACTCCTACTACTCCAGTTCCAGGGGATCCAACACCCTCTACTGCCTTATGTGGGCACTGCACCCCTGTGATGCACAGTCATACACGCAGGCAAAACTCACATACATAAAAATAAATCTTGAAGAACCAGAACTGAGCTGGGTGTCGGGGCATCAACCCGCCCTCAGCATTTTGGAGGCAGAGGCAGGAAGAGTTCTAGAAGTCTGGTCTTTATAGAAGTCACACGACAGCCAGGGCTACATAGTAAGACCCTGTCTCAAAAGAGGGGCAGGGTGGAGGGGGGGACAAGAATTGGCTGGGTTTGGGCCTTGGACGGGGAGGTAGGTGGGGTTAAAAGTTAAAAAGTCAAGTAGCTTCACTGTAGCTGCCCCTTTTGTGGATAGCTTCACTAATTTTGGGTATATTTTAAACTGTGCTGTAACTGGGGGATTGAGTGCTTGCCCAGCATGCTTGAGGGCCTGGTTCAATCCCCAACGGCCAAAAGAAAAAAAAAAGAAATTAAAAAATGACACACCCTAATGTAAGCATCCTAAAAGGGCAATCGAGTCAATGGACAAGAGCTCCGAGGAGCAGTCTGGGACAACAAGCTCACTTTGACAGCACGACAAATCTCCAAACAAAAGAGTAAGATTTCAAAAGGTTTTTTTAAAAAATCCTGCTAAGAAACCAAATGTGTCACGTTCTACTTAACTCCATGTAAAGGCATAACCACCAGTGACAACTCTAAGGCACCATTAACTGAGCAGCACATGGTGTGTAGTCCCTAGACTAGGGTGCAAGGCGAGAGGGATGCTCACCTCAGGAAAGTCCACTCGGCACTCACACAAGCCAGTGAGGGCACTGGGAGGCCCCTGAAACGTCTCAACAGTGGACTGCCATGCTGTGCGGCTCAGTGCTTCTTTTTCTTCCTGTTGTATACACAGCTGGGCTTTAAAACTGTTCAGAATCACTACCCAACTCCTCAGTTACTGACTCTGAAAAGTCCCAAGTTCTGGGGATTTATTGTATGAAACTGTAATTTAATAGAATCATAAACTGATTAATCCCAAAGTATCTTTAATTTCAATAACCTACTTAAGAAAAAAGTGTCTATCTTCAGTACACTGTCCATTTCTGAAGTACTCATGTTTCTAAACAACTTTAAAAGCTGTAGTTAGAAACAATACCAGTACATCTTAGTAACTGAGTAGATAATTCAGTTTCCTACAAACCCACCCACTTGATATGACCTAATTCCAGAAATGTAAACCATGATTCAATCTTCACATTTTAATTTAACATATTCTACCTCTCACTCTGTAACTATGAGCAAGAAAATTTTATTTAAAATATTAAAGATTTCATGTGGATCAATATCTACTACCCACAGCTGCAACCTCTCTGATGTGTTGATTCCCAAGATGATAAAACACACAGTTAACACCAACCCTTAGAGAAAAGCATCACTTGGAATAAGCTTACCAACGACGATTTTATACTCTAGATGAGCCCACCACTCTGCAGTTCTGGATAAGGCTAGTAAGCGGAATTCCCCATGATTTCCCGGAACTCTGAGATCCTGAACTGAAGTAAGACTACTGTTCCGTAACACTTCTTCAACAGCACAAGGGCTGCAAACATCATCTCCAGAACGGAGCAGTGTTTGGCACTGTGGACATCAGTGTATTAATTTATCAAACAAATAGTCCAATAAACTGCTGCCATTTAGCTCCTTGGTATGCTATAATAATTACTTCAAATTCTATGTAATAAAACAGAATAGACCCCAAACCTTATTTTTACAAGCAAATGCTAAAAGAAATATTTAAAGATCTCCAGTTTAATGGGATGTAGAGCTGGACTTTCAGAAACAAATACTTTAGTTAATGATTTTCTGCAATCGAAATAATTTTCAATAAAATTTTTTTCTTTATGAAATTTAAAAAGAAACACAAGATATAAGTTGCTTTGCAATGAACATCATTAAGAATGCATTCTATAATTACCTTAATAAAGCACTTATTTCTCTAATAAAGTTACTTTAAAACTAACTAGAAATTTGAGAGAATTAAAATGACAAAGAGTGAAATAACTACAAATGTTCATAAACGTTTTTGCACTTCAAAAAATATCTGGTACCAGAGTTAAGAGACTTTTTGCATCTATAAGAGAATTACTCTCCACATATCACAGATTTTAACATCCCTTACAAAGCCCACGATAATTTAAGACCATTTTCAATATCTGCTACCATGAATCAAGAAATTCAAATATTCAGTTAGTTGTGGAAAATTAATCATGGGCAGTTTCAATAACTCTTACTCTCAAAAATTAAAGAACTTAGATATACTTGGCATTCCTACACATGATGACACAGGCTGAGAGCAGCAGGCTATATGGGCTCAGTCACCAAAATGGTTTGTTTATTTTAAAGATTTATTTATTACGTATACAGTGTTCTGTCTGCGTGTACACCTGCACGCCAGAAGAGGGCACCAGATTTCATTACAGATGGTTGTGAAAGTGGTCGCTGGGAATTGAACTTCTGGAAGAACAGCCAGTGCTCTTAACCTCTGAGCCATCTCTCCAGCCCCCTAAAACAGTTTAATAAATAGAATTCTCCATAACAAATATTCTGGAAAGATAAATCAGAATGTAAATACAATGTAATTACTCCTGTGCCTAAGGGGCAATACTTAATAAAGAAAGTTGGTTCAAAATATTCATAAGTACATATGGTCTAAGAAATACATAGTCAAAAAAAATCTAAGAGTAAGACAAGAAAACTGAGGGGCATGACTCATAAATGCTGTGTATTGGAAGGAGCTTCTCACGCCTACCTCCTCATCTGGAGAACATGTTCACTTTCTCTGTGTACAGCAAGAAGCCAGTGAGCCAAACAGCTATAACCCTTATCAGGAGGGAATCAAGCCAAAGCCAGCCAGGACACACAACCTCAGTTTCCACCAGTGGTAACGAGAACGTTTTATTGTAAATGGAACATGAAGAATTAAAGGACAGTCTTAAGGTTTCAATTCTGCATTTTGAATATCAAGAAAGCAATTACTCCAAAAATCACAGAACCATGTTGAACTAACTAAACAGAAAACAAAGTGGGTATTTAAGTCATTGCATTTATCATCATTAGTGGAAACAGATGTCCTGATAACTCCAGTCTCCAGACAGCACATTTCATAATATCATTATTCACTTAAAACACTACAAATGTTTACAAAGAACATTTGGATTTCACAATTGCTTACAGAATATCTTACAACATTAAAAACATGATGCTCTATATGAAAATCAATAATGACAACTTAATCTTTCTCAGCAAAAAAAGATTCAGTATCACAAATTTAATGTGTAAATTTATATATGAATTCAAAAAGGAATCCATTTAAACCTCACATTGCCACATAACTACCTATTTTGTAAACTGATAAAAACGATGTACTTTTTGGAAACATGTCCATCAAAACCAAAAAGTTAATGTTTACTCTTTCCTTTATTAGCAACGTTTGGTGTGTTTTTCCGTTTTGGTTCCCAGAGCGCGTTTTTGACAAATCTCGAGGCGGCACCTCTGTCCAGCTTGGCAGCCTTTTTCTTGTCTGTTATTTCTTTGACTCTGTTCATGTAGACTCTGATTCTTTCCTTAGAGAGAAAAAGAAAGAAAAACAAAAGGCAATGATTTTCTGAGCTGTTCACTATCGATAGGTTTTATTATCCTTTCTCAGCGAGTATTTATTGCCCATTAAGTCCATGGTACTAGTGAGTGCAAATGAACGGGATGAACACGCCCCATGCTTTCTCAGAGCTGAGAGTCTAGGGGAAGACAAACTTTAAACTCCCTCCAGTGGACACGGAGGTGCACCCAGCACTTGGAGGGCAGAGGCAGGAGGATCAAGACTTCAACATCATCCAGTTTGAGGCCAGCTTGAGCTCCACAAGACCCTGTCTAAAAACAGCAACAACAAAGAGCCAAATATTTTAGAAGTGTTCTGAACTCTTCCAGAGAAAGCTCATGCAAGGCTCGCACTAGGGTATCACTATAGCGTTGAACAATAACCGGCTTATATATAGCTCTATTGTTTTAATTAACATTAACCTAAATTCTCATTTTAACTATTTTGTATCTGAAGAGTAAATTCTAAAATCTGAATTCTACACTTACATCAACAAATTAAATTCTCCCTTCATTCTTCTAAACAGAAAATGGGCGAGGCAGTATTTATATCTATTTTATGTTACTGTCTAGTGTCACAATTAAAATAGGCAGAATGAAATAGGAGATCTTTTTATTCAGTTTCATAATTTTGACTGGGAAGTACTTCTGGACCACTTTAAATCTCCTGAGAATATTACTCAGAATAAATAAATCTTATATTTCAAATGGTGAAATAAAGCTGATGAAAACCATAAAATATAGTAAATGACTGATCACTACTCAAAAACAAGTTTCACTGAAATAAAACAGATGAACATACACTGTAAAATACAAAAATCTTACAAGTGTTTCATTATCAAAACTGAGTAACTGCTCAAAATCCTCTGCTGGCTCCTTATTCTCTCCTGTAAGAGCTGCAACCCTTACAAAGCAGCACATCCACCCTAATCCTGCCCTGGGACCTTTGCCCTGCTTATTGCCCTGCTGACAAACATCCATCCAGTTACCCTTCTAGTCTGCTCAACTGGCAAGCTTGTCTTCACCATTAACACTGGAACGTTACCCAGGTACTCCAATCCGCTATACCTGCTCTGCTTTTTCCTTTCCCCCATGAACTACCTTTTTAGCATCCTGCACAGTCAGTACGTGCAGTATTTATCTTACTGTGTGTTTCCCTTCATTCTGGGTGTGGCATCTGCCACATTCCTCAGCTTTTCTCTGAGGCATTACCTCACTTGAAAATGATGCCTAGCTCTTAGTAGGCACTCAAATATCCTTGGATGAACAAGGTGACTATTTCTCACTTGTGATGCATATGACAAATAGCAAATAGATTTCCTCTAATTCTGTGATCAATTAGTAATGTCTGTTGCAAGGTCAGAAAAGGGTAATAGACTTAAGAATGCTTTTTATTTGCCAATCCTTTTCCAGAAAATTAATGTGCTCTCCATAAAGTAGAACTTAAAGGAAAATGAAGACAAATGGTCTTATCCTTTTACAAACACAATATTGAGTACTATAAATAACTTTGTGTTGAAAAATCATTTCTTAAAAGGACACTATCAGAAAGCTAAAAAGATGACCTGCACTTCTTAAAGCTAGTATCATAGGTCAAATAAAATCTATAGATATTCCTTTATGCCTTTCTCTTAAAATTTTTTCACAACTGCTATATTTAAGTATGAAGTTATTTTTCCCTCAATAACCTTAAAAGGAGAAAATACCCTGGTCTATACATTTTTTTAATGAAGAAGGCTGAATTACTCAGTTTATTTTTAAGTGCTTTACTAAGATGTAAATACTACATTCACTGGCTACTAGAAAACTTGAAAACAAGGATACAATGTCAAGTGTGTTTTGCATATATATGTACATTATATTTTATGTGCACAGAGAATAAATTCATTAAAATTCTTATTCATAAAGCCAAGTCAGTAAGGTAACTATGTTTGATTTCTATTTTTCTCCTTCGAATTGGATGATTTGATTTAATATTTGAAGTCAGCAAAAACTCCAAGATATTAGATCTTATTTAGTGTACTTATACATCTAAATGGAATACAGAGGCAAATGTAGAAGATTTATTACGGGTTGTAAATATGTCACTGATGCAGAATTACTGGACAGTATACATATGGCTGGTGCCAAAAAAGCTTTTAGCTTTGTTGCTGAACTGAATTCTTTACTGCTGAGAAAATGAGTTAATGGAGGAATTGAAAAGGTAGGAGAGAAATTTCCCCGTCTTTGCTAGTAAATCAAATGAATACACTTTTAAGAATTGTCTAAGAGTTTTTTTTTTTTCTTAAGTAAGCCTGGAGATGAATAAAATTTTTAAGAATTTATAGGAAAAATAATATGAAAGTTATAAATAATTACGAGAATTATGCCATTCTGCTATAATTCTGATCTCCCTAATCAGTGATAATGGCCATATGACTGAAATTCCAGAGTTATACAACAGACCTATAAATAGGGATAAATCACAGATGTCTTACCAATTCTTGCTTCACTGGATGTTCCTTCGGATTAACTCCTTGGGTTGCCAAATAAACTATAAGAGAAAGATCACATTAAATAAAGAGGTATATAGAATAGTAAGAGTGTTATAATAAAATAAACCCTAGTTACTCAAAGAAGGAAAGTTGTATAGTTAATTCAATTTTAAATTATTTAACCTCTATGAAATATTAAGTTTGTATGTGGCTCACAGGCATCCTGTACTCTGACATAAAAGATAAAAAACATTTGACTGATAAGATTACTATAAAGGATAATTTTATGTTAATTGCTAGCTCTTAAAAACAAATCGCCCTTAACATAATAATATATTTTCTAATGAACTACAAAGAAACATACATACCCCAAAACATGGAGTTTAATGTGTATGCAGAAACTAAATCCACCTTTGCTTGTTCCAGTGGGTCCAACTAAAACAGGAAGAGACAAGAAAATGAAAGATACACACAAACTCTGAACACCAACAGATAACACTTTAAACTTTTCCCAACCACAAGGTATCAAAGGCATGTTTTTCTCACTTCCTTTAATCCAACAATAAAATGATCTAGAAATAATTTGCACAACTATGTCTTCTTAAACCAGTGATTCTTTCTGGTTATTTCTGAGACTGTATTTTAATTACAACACTTCTCTCTCCTTTTCCTCCCTCCAAACCCTCCTGTACACACACACACACACACACACACACACACACACACACACACCCCGTTCGCCTTCACACTCATCAGTTGCCACTGCAAACGTACATGTATTTGTATATATATACATATACCCAAATATAACCAGTGAGTTTTTGTTTTGTTTTGTTCTGTTTTTGCTAAAAAATTTCACTTCAGGGTATCATTTCTGGTTAAACAAGGAATTTTTACAATCCAAGAAAAACTCTTCTAATTTATATCAATTTCAGAGTTATAATCTCGGCTTTTATGTCAAAAGTAATTACTCAACATAAGCATTGTACATGGTTCACTTATATATAAGAAGCAGAACAAAATGTTTAGGCAATACAAAACCATTTCATTACTGTTTTTGTAGTACACTGTTTCCAGAAACTTTGATATCATTACAATACTTAAAAGGTCAAAGACAGATTCCATCAAAAAGAATGCTATCATGTCCTTGCTTTCTGAAATCAAATTCCCAATGCAAAAGTTTTGCAAGATGTTCTGGACAAATATACTCCAACACTTCTACGCCTGAAACTCCAGTAGGAAGACATGGAAAGTGCTAATCAACTGTTTCTTCCACATGTTATTGTCTTATGAAATTCATCTTCAGGAAACACATTTAAAATACCTTCTGCTGCCAGGCAGTGGTGGTGCACACCTTTAATCTCAGAATTTGGGAGACAGAGGCAGGCAGATCTCTCTGAGTTCAAGGCCAGCCTGATCTACAGAGTGAGTTCCAGGACAGCCAGGGCTACACAGAGAAACCCTATCTCAAAAAACAAAAGACAAAAAAAAATACCTTCTGCAACAACTCATTTCTAGAGACAGACATCATGGTCTTCAGCATGTCATCCACAGCACCCAGGGAGCTCTCCAGGGCTGATAAAGATTCATGGATTTCTACAGGATAGTCCTCATTCATTTCTTCACCTGCCATTTCAACAACTGAAAAAAGAAGTTCTCAGAATTCATACTGGAGACAGAACTTTAGAAAGAAAATAAAAAGTACATTTACTTTTGAGTAAGGTTAGTAAGTGAACCTTGGCATGCAAGTCTAGAACAGCTACCTTCCAGCATCTCTTCCTAAAAGGCGCCTCTTTCCTGGGAAGGAGGAAAAACCCACCCAGGCCACACATCAAGCCCTTGAGATTTTCAAAGCTCTGAAAACATGATTCTAATACAACATATCAATAAGCAAACCCCATGTTCACCCAGATTCAGTGGCACATGCACCTGGGAAGTGGAGCTAGAGGATGAGGATCCAGGTCACCCTCAGCTACAGGTTAAGTTCAAGGCTAGTCTTGCCATCTCAGAAATTAAAATAAATGGGGGAAAGGGAAGCCATATTTTTTAAAAGCACTCTATTGAAGGCAAATGTATTTAAAACTGAAAGTGTGATAAACAAGTCCTCTAATGTCTACTGAAGAAATCAACAAAGTGAGTTTCTCTGAAAATGTTTTATTTTATTTAGCTTTTTAAAACTTAGGTGTCATTCTGACAGTTCACTATATTAAAGTTAAACAAATCCTAGATATAAAAAATTTTTATCAACTATCACTAAAATTACTTTTCAAGTTCAAGTTCATATATGTATTTATAGTCCTTAAGCATCTTAACAACAGCTGAGTACCAGGTTGGTTTTGAGGGGGAGTACCAGGTTGGTTTGGGGGGGGGGGAGTACCAGGTTGGTTTTGGGGGG